AACAAATAATTTATAATTGCAATAAGTACTAACAAAAAAGATAATACAAAAAGGTTTAAAACATAAAACAATATAGTTTCTTTTCAAATTTTTTTTTTTTTTATAAAATATTTAAATATTTAAATGAAATATTTAAATAGGAAAAATAAACAATAATCGATACTTCAATTCTCATTTTTTTTTCATTCCTTTATCACTTTTTTTTCTTTTTTTGCATATATCATACTGATAATCATATATGTATATAAGATATGTATGAATTTTAAAAATTGAAAAAAATTGAAATTGAAAGAATTTCTTCGATTTTAAATGAAATTGAAAATTTTTACAAACAAAAAATTATGCATAATTTAACACAGAGAGAGAGAATAGTAATGATAATAGTGATGATAATAATGATAAAGTGATAGTAGCAATGATTGTGTGAGGAAAAAATTGAAAATGAAAGAATTTCTTCGATTTTAAATGAAATTGAAAATTTTTAAAAACAAAAAATTATGCATAATCTAACATAGAGACAGAGAACAGTAATGATAATAGTGATAATAATAATGATAAAGTGATAGTAGCAATGATTGTGTGAGGAAAAAATTGAAAATGAAAGAATTTTGCCTATTTTAAAGTAAAATTGAAAATTTTTAAAAACAAAAAATTATGCATAATTTAACACAGAGAGAGAGAATAGTAATGATAATAGTGATAATAGTAATGATAAAGTGATAGCAGCAATGATTGTGTGAGGAAAAAATTGAAAATGAAAGAATTTCTTCGATTTTAAATGAAATTGAAAATTTTTAAAAACAAAAAATTATGCATAATCTAACATAGAGACAGAGAACAGTAATGATAATAGTGATAATAATAATGATAAAGTGATAGTAGCAATAATTGTGTAATGCATAAATTTGCATGCATTAAATGATTTAGCGAAAAGTTTAACTGAATGCTTGCATGCATGCATGCGTGCATGCAAGCATTCATTTATCATTTCGCTCATTTATGCAAATGACGCGCACATATTCCAAATCGATGGGCGTTTTTGTTTTTTTTTTTTTTGTTTTTTTTGTTTGTTTGAATGAATGTATAAATAAAATAGGCGGAAAAGGCATTAAATTAGATGAATGATACTTATGTGCCCATAAACTAATCTATTCTTTTTCATTTATAAATTTCAATTTAATAAAGAAATTATTATTGTTTTGTTCAGAAATGAAATTGTAGAATAGAATAGGATAATATTGCTAATTAACTAATTAATTAATTAATTAAAAGGTATTATTTAGTATTGTTTTTTTCAACTGTAGGAAAAAAAGTGAAATAAAAGAGAGAGAGAGAGAGAGAAATAGAATGGAAATTATTATTAGCAAAAAAAAAAAAAATAGAAGAATCTATGCTAGAAATAATGGATTCTTTCCATTTTTTTTTTTTTTTTTTGCTCTATTTTAACTAAATGTGAAAATTTTGGAAGAGAAAAAAGAGAGAAAGAAGGAGGGAAAAAAGAAAAAAAAAAAAGTAAAAACTTTTTTTGTTTAAACTATCAATGTGCAAACACATTAGAATTGTTTAGTATACCAAATAGATAAATCTCTTTTTTTTTTACTTTTTTATTATAATTTTTTATTTTTTATTTTTTTTTTTTGGTTATAATTCTCTCAGTTATATCATATTTTATCATTAAATAATATTAATACTAATATTAATTTAAATGATGTGAAAATGAATAATCAATTTTTTTTTATTTTTATTTTACTATTTTCTATCGATGAAAAAATAGATTAATTTATCTTTGATTTATTTAAAAAAAAAAAAAAGAATCCTCTTATCATATCATTTTTTATGTATGCACAAAATTTTATATATCATTTTGCACAAATTTTATTGTATTTTTTTTTGATTCATAGTTTTTTTTTTTAAATTATATTCTTTTTTGGTTTAATAAATTATTTAACTATTTAAAAAGTTTCAAATAAAGTTTATTTTTGAATTTGTTTACTAAAATTAGAAAAAATGGTTAAGTTTCAAGTTTCTTCTATTTGTTTACTTTCATGCTAATTGTAATTTTTGTACTTTTCTAAATTACTAACTAATTTATTTTTAGAATATTAATAATTTTATTGAATTTGACGAATTTTTTTTTTGTTTCCGCTATTTTAGCGCATTGTTTATTTTTCATTATTTATCGTTATCTAATTATTGTATAAATTAAGCGTTTATTTTTTTACGTACGTCTATTTTGACGCATATGACGCATATTTCATTCATTTGACATAAAATTTTTTTTCATATATTTCACTCATTTATTATTTTTTCTATACTAAAATTATCAAAAAAAAAAAATTTTAATTTGATATAAATTTAAATTTTTGAAAAATATACGCACAAAAAGTTTATTTTTAATTTACTCTTACAAAAATTTGAACATTTTAATTTTTTTTTTTACTTGAAAAAAAAGACGATAATTTGAAAAAATTTGGTATAAAAATTTTCAGTTTCTGCATTTTTTATTTTATGTTATCTGTTTAAAATATCAATGCTATTAAATGAAAATTTTAATTTATTTTAAATTTAAAAAGATAGGAAAAGATTGGTAATTAGAGAGGAAAAGTTGCTAGCATAAATTTAACTGATGATTAATTTTTAGTAGCAATTTAAAAAGTTTTTAAAAACATTTCTTCTTTTTTTTATTATTATTATTATAGTTTGGTTTGTATTTAAATTTTTAATCGGTTTGTATTTAAGTTTTTAATTATATCTTTTCTTTTTTATTTTATGTTATCTGTTTAAAATATCAGTGCTATTAAATGAAAATTTTAATTTATTTTAAATTTGAAAAGATAGGAAAAGATTGGTAATTAGAGAGAAAAAGTTGCTAGCATAAATTTAACTGATGATTAATTTTTAGTAGCAATTTAAAAAGTTTTTAAAAACATTTCTTCTTTTTTTTTTATTATTATTATTATAGTTTGGTTTGTATTTAAATTTTTAATCGGTTTGTATTTAAGTTTTTAATTATATCTTTTCTTTCGATAATAATCACTGTAATTGCTTTTCATGCTGTGAAAATCAATATACAAAATGATTGAGATTAATGATAATTAGCATTTCAAATTACTTTTCATGCTGTGAAAAGTATTTCATAAAAGATTTCTTTTTCTTTTTTTCACTCCCTCTCTCTCCCTCTCTCTCTCTCTCTCTGAAAGTTAAAAAGAAAAAAAAAATGAAAAGAAAATTTGCTTTTTTTCACTTATTTTTTAAAACAAAATTTTTTGCTCATTTCAAAAAAGTACAAATGGAATAATCAATCATAGTCAAAAATTTGTTTCATATTAGGGATTATATTTGTACTCTTAAATATCTTAAAGTATTACTTATGATTAAAGTATTACTTAATGTTAAATTAAATTCTTACTTATCTTTTCATTTGCATTCTACAATTTAACTTAAATTTTTCTCATATTTATGTTTTAAAAAAAAAATAAAATTTAAATAAGAATATAAATACTAAATGTAATAAAATTGTTTTATTATAATTTAATTATTTGCTATTTCTACGTTTTTTTTTTTTTTTGTATGCATTTTCATTTCTGTAAAACTTTTATAAATGATAAAAATTCTCAATTTACCTTTTTAATTTTTAATATTTTATTTATTTACTTACTTTTTTTTTTTTTACTGGAATTTTATGACGAAAATTAAATGTCTTTTAGGCATTTTAATAGCATTAATTTAAAATTCCAAAAAGAAAATTTTTTTTTCTGTTAAATTTAACATTTTTGAATTAAATATTATAAAATATAAATGTGATATATTAATACCTAAACCAAAATTCTTATCAAAAATGTTACATTTGTTAATAGAAAGATGCATAAAATTTATCATAATGTCAACTATTTTATTTGATATTTTCATCTGATAACGTTTATCATTAAACTTTCATTTCAATTCTTTTGATAAAAAAAAAAAATGGTAAAAATAAAATTTCACAAAAATTATTAAATAGTTTCGACTATTTATTATAGTATTGTAATGAAATAACACTGAAAAGTTTAGTTTTAACCTTTCTTTTGTTTCAAAAATCATTTTTTTTTCTTTTTTCTTTTATCAAATATTTAGTAATATTAGTGATAAATTTTTTTTATGTGAATAATTGAAATTTTTCTATTAATATATAAAATCATATGAGAAATCTTAAAATATATTTGCTTTGTTTGTTTGTTTATTTATTTATTTACTTTTTTTTTTTTATATTAGTGATAAATTTTTTTATGTGAAAAATTGAAATTTTTCTATTAATATATAAAATCATATGAGAAATCTTAAAATATATTTGCTTTGTTTATTTATTTATTTATTTACTTTTTTTTTTGTTTTTTTTTGTTTTATATTAGTGATAAATTTTTTTATGTGAATAATTGAAATTTTTCTATTAATATATAAAATCATATGAGAAATCTTAAAATATATTTGCTTTGTTTGTTTGTTTATTTATTTATTTACTTTTTTTTTTTTATATTAGTGATAAATTTTTTTATGTGAAAAATTGAAATTTTTCTATTAATATATAAAATCATATGAGAAATCTTAAAATATATTTGCTTTATTTATTTATTTATTTACTTTTTTTTTTTTTTTTTTGTTTTATATTAGTGATAAATTTTTTTATGTGAATAATTGAAATTTTTCTATTAATATATAAAATTATATGAGAAATCTTAAAATATATTTGCTTTGTTTATTTATTTATTTATTTACTTTTTTGTTTTGTTTTATTTAGCAACGATTATTATTTGAATTAATTTCGAGAATGAAAAAAAAAACGTTAATAATTCTTATTGTAGTAATTAACAGTAATTAAATTAATAATTTTTTTTTTCAGTTATTTTTTCTTTCCTTCAAGAAAAAAAAAAGGAAAGAAAGTGGAAAAATTGGAAAGAAAGAATTAAGTAATGAAATGATTGAAGAATTGATCGAGAATAGAAATTAGATGAAATAAGCAAAAAATGTCACTGGAAAGACCAGAAGAGACAGCTAATGGGGCGCTGTTGTCCACCGATGAACATTTGGATGAAGCTAAAATGGAAAAGAAGAATGATATGAAGATTACTGATAATGATATGAAACGCACTGATAATTTACAACAACAATCTGCCTTGGCTTTCAATAAACTTCAAATTACCAATCATGGTTTAATTTTTGCATAAATTTAAAAACGAAATAAAAATTAATTTTAATTTAATATACTTATTAAAATATTTTTTTTATTTCTCTTTTTAAAAAATTTAAATAATGCAAATTATTGCTATTATAGAATTATAATTTTTTTAAAAAAAAAAATGAAGTATTAAAATGACTAAAACTTTATGTTAATTTGTTATAAAGTAAAAAAAAAATTATTTAAATAAAAATAATATAAGAACATTTATAATAAACAACGCTTACTACTAAATTTTAATTTTTTAAGTTTGTAATTTTTTAAATTTCATCAATTGTTTACTGTTTATTTGTTTGTTTGTTTTTTTTTTTTAATTTCATTTGAAAAATTCAGGATGCACAGGTGATTCACGACGCAGCAAACTTCTTTTCTTATGGAAATATCTCACACTTCGTGGCTTATTTCGACTTTTAGGTAAAATTTTATCACTTTTAATTTGTTTGCAAAATTATTTAAATATGAAATTATGCACTGATAAATATTCCTCAAATCTTTTATCAGTTATCACTTCATGTAAACAACAATTGTTAATAGCAAATTTTATGCCACATAAAAAAGTTATGTCTTTTTATTGTTGTTAAAGTTATTTTGTTTGCAGTAAATTATCATTTTTGTTATTTGTTATAATTTAAAATTATTTAAATTATTTTGTTATTCTTAATTTTAAATTAATTATTTTGTTTTGCTGTAGCCAAGTGATAAATTTGATCAAAAAATATATTTGAGCCAAAGGAAAATGATTAGTTTATTTATTATAATTTGTAAGATAGTTAGTATAAAACTAAAAGTTTTGATATATGCCAAATGTGTTTCAAATGTTTCACTTCTAAAATTCACTATTTTCCTAATTTGAATTAATTAAAATTTAAGTTATAATTTTTAGCTTTTATTTCCAATTACAATTTCAATTCATTTAAATTAAAATTTCGATTAATTAAAATGTAAATTACAATTTCAATTAATTAAAATTTAAATTACAATTTTTAGCTTTTATTTCTAATTATAATTTCAATTAATTAAAATTTAACTTATAATTTTTAGCTTTTATTTTTAGTTTAAACTATATAACTTGAAAATTTTTTAGGTGAAAATGTTGGTTCTTATCCGATAGTATACATTTTGTTATCATTATTGATCTCGACAAGTTCGTTTGGTATTTTTAAAATTGTTTTACGTGATCGAATAAGAGATGGTTATACACCAACTAATGCACCGTCCAGATATGAAATGGATGTATTGCGAGAATTTTGGAATTCTACCGGTACTTTATGAAATAATAGTAATAATTATTATCAAATATACTAATTAATTAATTAGTTAATTAATTAATTAAAATATGCTGAATAATTAATTAATGAAATGAATAACAAAATTCGTAACAATTCCTAACAAAAATACATATATATTCGATAAGTTTCAACAGAAAAAAAAAAGAAATTTAATAAGTAGCAATTTAATAATAAAAAATTTCATTTGCAATTTTAAAAAAAATCTAAGAAATTATTTAAAAAAAAAAATTTTTTTTTAAATAAATAATTGAAATTATTATTGTTTCAGAAAATATTTGCTAATTCAGTTAAAAAATTTAATTCAAACATTTAATATGACAATGTAGTGTTCATTTAAAATGCTTACATAAACTTTCTTATCAATTAATTAAGTTTTAATTAATTGATAAGAAAGAAGAAAAGAAATAACAATTATTGATAAGAAAGAGAAAAAAACAAAACAAAACTACAATTATTATAAAATTTACATACAGATGAAAGATAATGCAAATGCTATCATTTTATCACTCAAATATTTCAGAAAAATTAGATCAAATTGATCACTGATCAAAATTATCAAAATTATCAAATTATTTTATAGGTGATCCAATGGAACAATTATCGATATGAAAGAGAAAAAAAAAAACAAAACAATTATTATAAAATTTACATACAGATGAAAGATAATGCAAATGTTATCATTTTATCACTCAAATATTTCAGAAAAATTAAATCAAATTAATCACTGATCAAAATTATCAAAATTATCAAATAATTTTATAGGTGATCCAATGGAAAAATTATCGATAAGAAAGAGAAAAAAAAAACAAAACAACAATTATTATAAAATTTACATACAGATGAAAGATAATGTAAATGTTATCATTTTATCACTCAAATATTTCAGAAAAATTAGATCAAATTGATCACTGATCAAAATTATCAAAATTATCAAATAATTTTATAGGTGATCCAATGGTTACAGTAGTATTATTAACAGCAAAAGATAATGGATCAATGTTACGCGATGATTATTTGAATGAAATTGAACGTTTAACAAATTATTTGATGACTAATCATAGTGTATTATATGATAATCAACCAATTATATATGAAAATTTTTGTTCACCGTATTGTAGGATGAATATTGCATTAAAACTTTTTAAGGTAATTATTTTTTTTTTTAAATTTTTAATAGCAAATTTAATAAAATTATTAATTGATTAATTAGTTTACTAATTTTTAATAAAGTATATACATTAATATTTAACTTGAATATATAAATAATATAAATAAGTAAATTTTTATGCTATTACTATTATTTAATATTCAAATTAAATTGTAGCTAAACTTTTTAAGGTAATTATTTTTTTTTTAAATTTTTAATAGTAAATTTGATAATATCATTAATTAATTAGTTCATTAATTATTTAATTAATTAGTTTAGATAATATCATTAATTAACTAATTTTTAACAAAATGTATACATTGATATTTAATTTGAATATATAAATAAGTAAATTTTTATGCTATTACTAATATTTAATATTCATATTAAATTGTGGCTAAACTTTTTAAGGTAATTATTTTTTTGTAATTTTTAATAATGAATTTGATAATATCATTAATTAATTAACTAATTACCAATTTTTACCAATTTTTAATAAAAATTATGCGTTAATATTCAACTTGAATATATAAATAAGTAAATTTTTACGGTATTACTAATATTTAATTCAAATTAAATTGTTAGCTAATTTATCATTAAAAAGTTTATGTATTCAGCAAAGTTTGCATTTTATAGTAAATTGATTAGATTAAGCTTAGAAATTATTCATCAAATAATTTTGCTTTATATACTGTACTATTAAAATTAAATTAAGATAAGTTTAAAAATTTTCTTAAATTTTATATAATTTTTTTTTAGAGTAAAAATAAGTGTAATTACAATTTTTGTAATAAAAAAAGAAAAATATGATTAAAGTAGGTAAACAGTGAATGAGTAGTAAACATGAAATTATAAGTTTCCTCGAAATAAATTTTTTGAACTTTAACTTTAGGTTAAAGTTAAGCTTACTCTAACTTATCACATATGTTTTGGCTTTTTAATTAATTTTATTTCTTTTTAAATTGAGATTAAAAATATGATCGACAGATTAGATTTAATACAATTTGCACAACAAAAAAAAAATGTTAACTACTATTTAGATTATTTTTATTAATCTTTTATTTATTTATTTTTTGAAAGCTATTACTGTATGATAAATGAATTTTTATTCCTTTAATAGAAATCAAACTTTTTCAATAATCTTTTTCAAAAAAAAAAAAAAAAAAATTAACAAAAAAGTGAAATTGGAATGTAAACAATTTTTTTTTTTTTGGATATTTTAGATTAACTTAATTAATTTGTTAATTGATATTATAATGTTTAAAATATTGCCAATAATTTTCAATTTGTTAATTAATTCATTTACATTTGCTCAATTCTAATTTAATTTAATTATTATTTTAAATTTAATTTAATAGGAAGGTGTTGATGTTGAACGAACACATTTAATTTTCAATTTGTTAATTAATTAATTAATTAATTAATTTACATTTGCTCAATTCTAATTTAATTTAATTATTATTATTTTGAATTAAATTTGACAGGAAGGTGTTGATTTTGAACGAATGCATTTAATCTTCAATTTGTTAATTAATTAATTACTTAATTTACATTTGCTCAATTCTAATTTGATTTAATTATTATTTTAAATTAAATTTGACAGGAAGGTGTTGATTTTGAACGAATGTATTTAATTTTCAATTGTTAATTTGTTAATTAATTAATTTACATTTTCTCAATTCTAATTTAATTTAATTATTATTATTTTAATTTAAATTTGACAGGAAGGCGTTGATGTTGAACGAATGCATTTGGAGCGTGGTGAAGCACTTTCATATGATACATCATTAACATATCCAATAGCAAAAATTGATGGTTTTGATATTCATTTGGAAAGAAATTTTTTTGGTATAACATTAAAAGAAACACCTCAAAAAGATATGTTTATTGGTCAAAATATTACTGCTGATAAATTACCAAAAAATGTTTCATATGCACAATTAGTATCAAATTTACAATTTGTTAAAGTAAGTTTTCTCTTTTTTTTCAATTTAATATTTTCTTTTCATTCAAAATAAATTCTAATAGCAAAATTTTTTTTTTTTGTTAAAAAAAAAAAGGAAAAGGAAAATTGTTTATATTAATTAATGTTTTATATGCATTAATAATTATTTATTGTTTATAATTTGTTTTTTTTTTTTTTTTTTGAACGATTTAAAGTTTTTTACAAAAACGAAGAAAAATTGTTTATATTAATTAATGTTTTATATGCATTAATAATTATTTATTGTTTATAATTTGTTTTTGTTAATTTTGAGCAATTTAAAGTTTTTACTTTTTTTTGTACTTTTTTTTTTTTTGGTTGAATTTCAGGTAGTTTTAGCACTTTATCGTGCTGATCGATCATCACCTGAAATGGAACGAAAATTATCGCTCTGGGAATTATCAGTTTTTGAATTTGCTCGAAAGCAATACAAAAATTATTTAATTGATATGGAGGTTATATTTTGAAAAATTATAAATTTGTAAAAAAAAAAATTTCAAATTTTTCTAAATTAAATAAATTTATTTTATTTTTTTTACAATTTTAGGTAATTGGAACAGAAATTCTTAATCAAGAAATGATCAAAGATGGACAAAAACTTGCACCATTTTTTGCTGCAGGTTTTTTTAAACATATTTTGTTAAATTTTTAAAAGTTTACTTATCAAATTTCACTTTCACATCATTTCCATTTGACAATAATTAATTCATTAAAAAGGTATTTAATAAAAATTGTCAAATCTTGCTAATTTCACTTATTAATTTTATTAAATGTTTAAAACTTTATTATTATATATTTCTATACATTATTTTTCATTACTTTTAAATAATTAAATTATTCATACCATTTATCTAATGCTATAATTAATTAAAACAATATATTTTCATGCATTATTTTTATTACTTTTAAATATTTAATATTATTAATACCTTTTATCTAATGGAATAATTAATTAAAAAGACATTTCGTAAAACTAACAAATCTTTTTAATTTCAATTTTAATTTAATCTTTAAAACTTTAATATTATATATTTCCATGCATTATTTTTATTACATTTAAATATTTGATACTCTTCATACCATTTATCTGATGAAATAATTAATTAAAAAGACTTTTCCGGAAAATTGATAAATCTTGTTAATTTCGCATATTAATTTTAATTTAATCTTTAAATTTAAAAAAATCTTTAAATTTTTAATCTTTTAATATTATATATTTCTAAACATTATTTTTTATTACTTTTAAATATTTAATATTATTCATGTCTTTTATCTAATTCAATAATTAATTAAAAGGGTTTTTCCGTAAAACTAATAAATCTTGTTAATTTCGCATATTAATTTTAATTTAATCTTTTAATATTATATATTTCTAAACATTATTTTTATTACTTTTAAATATTTAATATTACTCATACCCATTTATCTAATGCTACAATTATTTAAAAAGATATATTTGCATTCATTACTTTTAATTATTTTATTTAACATTTTTCATACTTTTTATTTAATTAAACTTTTCAGGTTTTGGTTTTATGATGTTTTTTGTAACTGTTACGGTTCTTGCAAGTGCAATTTTTTATAATGCAATGGATTGGGGTAAAGTTTTGGTAGCATTTGGTTCCATTTTATGTCCAATACTTTCAATTACATCATCATATGGTATTATATCACTTTTTGGTATTAGAACAAATTCATTAATGCTTGTTATGCCATTTCTTATTATGGGCATTGGTTAGTTTTAATATTTTAATTTTTTTTTTCTTTGAAAATTTTTTTTGCATTTTAAAGTGGTAAAATTTTTATTTGTATAATTTTACAGATATTAATATATAATTTTTATTATTTCAAATAAATAAACAAAAATAAGTGAAATTATTAGTAATCAAAAAAAAAAATTCAACCAAAAATTCAACCAACAAAAGAAAAAGTAAAAAAAAAAAGTAAAAACTTTAAATTGTTCAAAATTTGCAAAAACAAATTATAAACAATAAATAATTAATGCATATAAAACATTAATTAATATAAACAATTTTTAAGTGAAATTATTAGTAAAATAAATAAACAAAAATAAGTGAAATTATTAGTAAAAATCTAAATGATAAAATTATTAACTAAATTTTGAATATTTAAAATTTAGTCTTTTTTTTCTTAAAAATATTCTAAAAAAAAAAAAATTATTAAAAATTGAAATTATTTAAGGTGTTGATGATGCATTTTTAATGATTCATCCATGGCAACGTTTAGCATTGTTTACTAGCAGTGTTAGTGTTCGAATTGGTTTAGTATTTGAAGAAGTTGGACCATCAATTACGATTACTTCATTAACTAATTTCATTTCTTTTAGTATTGGTGCTTTAACTCCAACACCAGGTAAACATTTTATTTATTTTTTTATACTTTCAAATTTTGATTATTGATATCAAATTTTTAAATAAATTTAATTGATAATTAATTTTAGTAATATTATTTAAAATTATTTTTTTATACTTTCAAATTCTGATTATTGATATCAAATTTTTAAATAAATTTAATTGATAATTAATTTTAGTAATATTATTTAAAATTATTTATAAATTTTAAAATTTCTTTGTTAAGAGTTAATATCTTTTTTTTTTTTTTTTTTTGTTATTTTAAGATAGTCACTCGAAATACTACAATTTAATATCAATTTTCTACCGAAATGTTAAATAAATAAATGAATGTATGTATGTAATATTTCATTTCTAGCATTGATTTGTTTAACTTTATTTATATTTAATTAAATAATTGTTAAATTTATATTTTGAAAATAGTCAAAACTTTTTCAATATTTTTGTTAATTTTCTTTTAAAATAGATATTTTTTTTATAGAAATACGATTATTTTGTGTTTCAACAGCAATTGCAATGGGATTAGATTATTTATATGAATTAATTCTCTTTGGACCTATACTAGCATTAGCCTCACATTGTGAAAAACGTAATAAAAAGTATACAATATCATCATATTCACAAAAACCTTTATTATATGGATGGCGTTTACAGGTTTCAATTAATTTTATTGAACATTACTCTAAATTAAATTAAATCAACAAATTATTATAAGCTAATTTAGCAGGTATTATTATTATTACTATAAATTAATAATATAATTATTATGTAAGGAATAAATAATTTTTGTAAAATTAAACGGATTTCTTACAAAAAGTTTAAAATTAAAATTTAAAGATTGAAATAATAGTTCGAAGAGAAAAAAAAGTTACATATAGAATAAAGCAGATGTTTTTTATTACTATTACAAATTAATGATATAATTATATAAGAAATAAATGAATAATTTTTTGTAAAAATGAAAGCTTTTTTTTTTTTAATTTTTACAAAATTTTAAAATTGAATTTTGAATTTTGAAATAGTAATTTAAAAGAAAAGTTACATATGGAATAAAATTAATTTTTTACAAAATTTTATTAATTATTCAAATATTTTAGATTGATACCTTTATGAAATGGATTCTACGAATGTACTGTCGTATTTTGGAACATCGCTGTTTCACGATATTTTTATCTATTGCAGTGATTATATACTGGTATTTTTCTATTATCGGAGCATTGAATATCAAAACTAGATTAGATACGGTGAAAATTTTACCCCGAGATTCACCAATACAAAGGCCAAATCGAATACTTAATGATATTAGTATGTTATTGATTTTTTAGTTTCATTTTTGAGCTTACTTCTCAGTTATATTTTACAAATTAATGATATAAATTAATTAAAATACAAATTAATGATAATTTTTCTTTTCTTGCGGAAAAATATTTTTAATAATTTTTTGTTTATTATTGTTTGTTAATTTACTTACACTTTTGAATTCACTCATCATTTTTATGCAATTTTTATAAATTTACAGTTTGGGATGAATATCATCCGGTAACAGTACTTGTAAATAATCCGTTAGATATCCGGAAACGTGAACCAATGCAACGATTTTGGCAACTTGTTAATGATTTTGAAAGTTTACCATTGTGTAGAGGTGAGTTAATATAAGAAAGAGAGTGACAAATATTAAATTTCTAAACATTATTTTACTGAATTCCGAATTTTACTGCAAAAATTAATTATTGATTTGTGTGAAAAAATTTTCTTTTTTTGCATTAGATTAGAAATTTAATGAAAAATTTTAAATTTTTATGATTAATTTGAATTTTATAGGAAATATTTCAACATTATTATGGCTTCGTGACTATGAGCACTATTATAAGCACGGTGATCCATTATCATCATTGTGGTCATTTTTTAATTTGAAAGAGACGAAATCAATTTCTCACTCTGAAACTGGTCTTGACTTTGATAAATTGGAATACTTTCTCGAATCACCGTTTTATGCTCATTGGAATGCATGTATGATTGTGACTAATACAAAGTAAATTATTCAATGATATTATTATTATTTTTAAAATTAGAAATCAAATCAAAAAAAAAAAAAAAATTGTTGAAATTTAATAATTGTCATTTTTTTCATTGTAAAAATAGGGAATAAATTTGTATTATAGAGAAGGATTTCGAGTAAATCGTTTTTGGTTTGTTGTGGCTTACAAAAATACATCAACATGGGAAGTACGAATTGAATTAATGGAGAAATGGCGTAAAATTGCTAATAACTATAAAGTAAAATATTTAATTTTATTTAAATTAAAATCAAAATTAGATTAGAATTGTAAACAGAATTCATTTTTTTTCCTTTTTATTTATATTTAAGGATTTGAATGTAACAGTTTGGGAGGCTAATGGAATGTTTGTGGATCAAATGCTTAGTTTAAAAACAGTTGCAATGCAGGTAAAGGATGAATCATATTTTCCTAAAATTATTCATCTCTTTAACTATCCTACTAATTGTTTATATAAATTGATGTTAAATATAAATGATTAATCGTTAGTTATTGTTTGTTTTAGAATTATAAACTTGTTTGTTAAAAAAAAAAAAAAAAAAATTTATTAAAAAAAAAAAAATTAATTTGTATGACTAATTTGTAGAAAAGTTTTTTTTTTTTACAAATAATAATTGCTTGAAAAATGTAATCCTTTATATTGAGGTCTTCAGCAAATATGTTAATTACTTTCAAAGTTTACTATTCAAATAAGCTTATTGTTAATGATAATGAATGGATATATCATTTCAGACTGGCACATTAACATTAATTTGTATGGCAGTTGTTTGTGCGTTGTTTATTCCGAATCCTTGTAGCATTATTACGGCTTCAATTGCAATCGCTTCCATAAGTCTCGGTAAATAAATGCATACAGTCTTAGAGTTAGTTAAGTTACTGTAACAAGTACAGTAACTTAAAGTTGTAATTTGGGTGGATTACAGTTCAGTTTTTCTCACTGTAATTGATAAGGTATTGTAATTCGGGTGGTTTACAGTTCAATACTTCTTACTGTAATTGGTGAGGTATTGTAACTCGGATAGATTACAGTTCAATTCTTCTTACTGTAATTGATAAGGTATTGTAACTCGGGTGGGTTACAGTTCAATACTTCTTACTGTAATTGGTAAGGTATTGTAATTCGGGTGGTTTACAGTTCAATACTTCTTACTGTAATTGGTAAGGTATTGTAACTCGGGTGGATTACAGTTCAACACTTCGTACTGTAATTGATACGGTATTGTAATTTGGGTCGATTACGGTTCAATACTTCGTACTGTAATTGATACAGTATTTTAGATAAGACAATGTGTAATATTTTTACTTTCTATTATAGAGTCATTTGTTTAAGTAATTATCAATCCTCGAAATTAACAATAATGCAATTTAGTTTAATTAGTCTAATCTGTAAATGTATTATTATGAGTATTTCTTTTAAATAATTGTCCTTCAAGCTAGTTAAAATTAAGTAATTATGTTTGACAATGTATTTACTCAATCTGGTAATAATCGGTTGATCACTATGATAAAATAGAAATTGATCAAATTACCTGCTGAGAGGAATTGGTTCTTTCCTGATAAATTGTAATAGTTTTCTTACTATATTCATTTTCTTGATTACATTTTCTATCATTTAGGTGTGTTTGGCTTTCTATCTTGGTGGCATTTTGATCTGGATCCGGTTACAACGGTTGCAGTATTGATGTCTATTGGTTTATCGGTAGATTTCACCGCTCACGTCTCTTATCATTATCAGGTAAATATTCCGCTCATATCTCTTATCATTATCAGGTAATTAATTAATAATAAACATTTTATTGCTGCATATATCGTCTGATTTATACTTTAATTTTAATAATCTAACATTCAATATTGTATTTGATTACTCAACTAGCATTATATTTATTTATCTTTTGTAAAGAAAGTAAACAATTGGATTTGTAAAGAAAGTAAACAATTGGGAAATGTTTTTTTTTTTCAGCTAACAAATCGACGAGAAATTCGAAATAAAAAAATTGTGAAAATACCAATTAAAGGACCACATGAAAAGTTACAACACACTTTGGAAACTGTTGGTTGGCCAATGATACAAGCTGGTGCATCAACAATAATGTGTGTTTTACCGCTTATTTTTTTGCAGGTATGCAATTTTTTTTTTTCAAATTTTGATTTAACTTTTTAATACTTTTTTAATTACTTTAATTGATTATTTTATGATAACGAAAATTTTAATTATAAAAATTCTACTTAGCTTAGCATAATAAAACATATAAATAAAATAGCGAATAATAAATTTTATAATTTACTGCATTTAAAATGAAATTAGCTATTAAATTTATAAAAATTATCGCAAAACTACCAGAAAAATTGCTTAGAAATAATTTTTAGCAATTTTTTAATAAAACAAAAAAAAAACGAAATGGTCAGAATTTCAATTTAAAGAAGATTTGTGTAAGACTACAAACGAGAAATTTGAACTACAAAAGATTTGTATAAGACTACAAATGAAAATTTTTAAATTAAAAAAGATTTGTATAAGAAAAAATATTACAAAAAAAAAAAAATTGTATTAAAAGAAAAGTTATAACTATTGAAAGTTTTCTTTTCTTTTTTGATTATTTAAATTATAGAGTTATTCACCAATGGTTTTTTTCAAAACGATCATTCTTGTTGTATCGTGGAGTTTACTACATGGACTTATCATTTTACCCGCAGTTTTGGGTGCATTACCAGATTGTCTAACAAATGCTAATTGTTATCGAACATTTTTATCAACAAGCAGTCAAAAATCATGTCGTTATGTTGGTCCAAATGAATTAGATCAAATTGATGGACAAGAAATGGAATCCAGCGATTAATATTTCTCATTTTTTTTTTTTTTTAATTCTTTAATTTTATTTCAAATTTTCTTATCAATAGATATATTTATGTATAGTAGAAACTGTATAATTTCACTCATAGGTTATTATCCACTTTTTTTTTTTCTTTTTGTATTGCTCATAAATACATAATTTGTTATCAATAATGTAAATATAGAAATTTTACTGATGTAGAAAATTTTTTTTAATATCTTTAATTTAAATTATCAATGCTTTTATTCATTTTTTTTTCTTAAACTTAATTCTTGTATTGATAAATTAGACAAATTTTAAATTCTAACTATTTCTTCTTCTTCTTCTTTATCTTTTTCTACTTTTTCTTAATTTCATCTTTAACTTAGTTTTTATTCATTCTTTCCTTTTTTTTTCCACCTATTTTATCAGATATTTCAAAAAAAAAAAAAAAAAAAAAAACTGAAAAGAATTTGAAATGTTATTTTTTGCTTTAATAAATTTTTTTGTTAAAATGAGAATTAATCTGAAATGAATGATAAAATTTCAGTTATTGTTTTGATTGAAATTAGTCTTTCGTGAAATAATTCATTTGTTCATTAATCTTCCTACTTAGGATTTTCTCATCTTTCATCCTCCATTTTAGAAAATCCTAATTTTATCACAAAAACATGTATATTTTAGGATATTAATCATTTCATGTATTTATTACAAAAAAAAAAAAAAAGAATTTCATTTGCCTAAAAATTATTTTATTTCTTCAATTGTCGTTTTCTATTTTTTTTTTCTTTTCTTTTTTTTTAAGAGAAAACTACTTCCTAGCGGGTTCTTTTGATGTATTTTGTACAGGTCACCAACATTGTACAATCATTTTTATGTGACAAATTATTTAGTCATTCTTATCATTATGCTTTTTTTCAAAAAAAAAAAAAAATTTTCTTCATTTCATATAATTTATTTCTATTAACCTTAATTAAGCTTTAAATGAAATAATTGCTAATTACTTTAAATATATAATTGATAAGAAAAAGAAAAAAGAAAAGGAAAAAGGAAAAGAAAAGAAAAAAGTTATTTTTAAATTTTATTTATTTTTGAAATTTTTTTCTTCCTCTAACCTATTTCAATTTCAACGAATTTACACATTCTTTCAACTTTTCTTAAATTAAACAATTCAGCAATTAATTTTTTTTTTCTTTTTCATTTTTAAAAATTTGAACAAATTTTTTTTATCATATTATTATTATTATTACTTCTTCAATATTGTTAATGATTACTTTAAAATGATATGAAATGTTGAAAATAATTCACAAATTTTTTTTTTTTTACTGATTTCATTGAACTGTAGAAAAATATTTCATTATGTTTCATATTATGTCGAAAAATTTTTTGCTATTGTGCTATTCGATATGATTAACAAAGATAAGTGATAATTATTTGCATGATCAAAAAGATCAACAATATTGATTGATTGATTGATTGATTGATTACAAAAAGATTTTTTTTTTCTTTATTACTATTTGCAAATATAAAATTGTAAACTGGAAACAAAAATTGCATACAACTAACAATTTACAATTTCTACTATCAAAATCTTCACAAGGAATTATCACCGTTATCATCGTCATCCGCCATCCCCATTATCATTATCATTTATCAATTTTAGTTCATCCCGAACACACCCAAATATCATTATGTATTATCTTTATCATTTCAACCTAATTACAAATTGCTACAACAAAATGATATTTTATTTGTTGCTTATTAGAAAAAATTATTATTTACAAATGAAATAAAAATTTGAGTATTTATTAATAATTAAACTTTTTTTTCTCCATAAATTATTTTTAAATTTAAACAATTTCTTTTCATAAAAAAAAAGCAAAAAACATTTTTGTTTATTTCAAATTTTCTTCTTTTAGAAAAAATAAAAACGAATGAAAAAAATTTTTCACTTAATTTTTTTTATTGAAAATGTCATATTTAATAATTTAAAAAAAAAAAAGAAAACGAAAAAATATTTCTGGACTAATTCAAATTTATTTTTTATTATATAGTGGTAGATTTTTTTTTTTTTTTGTTTGTCCATTCATTCAAACAATTTTCTTTAAATCTAAACTGATCGATTAACACACAATTCATTTTTCACTTCCAATTTATTTAATTTACAAAAAAAAAAACTATTTCATTTTCCTTTTTCCATCCTTTTTAAACGTTTTTCGTTTTTCGTTTTTCTTTTTCTTTCCCATCTACTCTTTCTATATTAAAATAAAAAAGATTTCATTTCCCTTTTTTTTAAATATTATTCATTCTGTGCATTAATCGTATCTTTCATTTTTATTATTGTTATTGTTGTTGTAAAGTGAACTTTTGCAAATGATTTTAATAGTCATTTCTAGTTCAAATAACATTTCTCATTCTTTCTTATCATTCTTCTTTTCTTCCTTTTGGCTTATTCTTTTCCTAATATTCCTAATAATATCTTTTTTTTTTTTTTTTTTAAAAAGTATTTTAGTTGAAAGTAATTTTTATAATGAAATTCCCTAGTTTTATTGCTGAGACAAAAAAAAAAAATGATTAAATGAAGAAATGAAAATGAATTTTTTAATTTTCATCATTTTATTTACAGTTAAAGCTCAATTTTGTATTCATCTGATAATGTTATGGCAATTTATATTATTAGCATTTTTATTCATTCAACAATTAAACGCTCAAGAGGTTTCGATTCTTTTTTGTTTTTCTTTTACGCAAATTGATTTTTTAATGAATGTATGAATCTTTTTCAAAAAGTTAATGAAATAAATGTAGAGGATGAAATGATAATAAATGATAATAAATAATAATAACAATAATGATGTTAATAATAATAATAACAACAATGATAATAATAATAGTATTAATAATAATAATAATAATAACAATAGTAATGATAGTAATAATAATAATAATAATAATAATAATAATAATAATAATAATAATAATAATAACAATGGCAATGATAGTAATAATAATAATAATAATAATAATAATAATAATAATAATAATAATAATAATAATAATAATAATAATAATAATAATAATAATAGTAATAGTAATAATAATAATAATAGTAAATGATAAATAAATAATGATAATAAATAAACAAATTTTTGAAAAAGGAAATGAAAAATTATTCAGTGATAAACAATATCATTCAATTTAACTACACCACAAATTTATCAGTAATTAAATTAAATGACTGATAAATTGCAGTTAAAACAATGTCCACATATTCCAATATCAGGATGTTGCTCGATGAGATGGACATCTGATTGTGTCCCAAAGCATTGCTTCAAGCATATTCTTATCAAATGTCCAGATCGTAAAATTCTAATGTTTAAGCGTAGTGTGAAACAGAAAAGTGACCTGAAACGATCACCAAATGCAGCATTTCGTGGTCAATCATTGGTAGAAAATATATTTATTAAATTAAATTCATTATTTTAATTTAAATTTGGAAATGTTCAAAATGTTATAAGAGAAAGTTAAATCAATTTGAAAAGATCAAAGTGTTGTAAAATAAAATTAAACCAATTTGAGTTCCAAAAAAAAAAACAAAAGACTTTTTTTTTGGGAATTTACAGTGTATTTAGAAATAAAATTCACACTATTAATTAACTACTACGAAAAGTTTACCTATAAAATTTATATTGAAATTCAGATTTCTTTTTTTTCTAGCCTCTTTGTGGTACCGCTGAATTAGGATATAAACCATGTACCAGTCGAGGTGTAGCTGATAAACTTTTTCAATCATGTTGCAATATTTATGTACCAAAGGAATGTCGTTCATTATGTGTTTATGAAACCAATCAAAATGTCACACGTGAATTGGTAAAATTTATTTATCAAATAATTCTTTCATAAAATTTATACTTTTAATTTTGTTTATATTCATATACATATATATGTATATGTTTAATAGATTGTTTCAGCTTAATTGCACTTCTTAGATATAATAAGAATTAAGAGATTATTTTAAAATAATTATTTTTTTTAAAAAAAAAGAAAACTCTCAATCAAATTACTTTCATATACATATATTTATGTAATGATTTGTAATTGAAAAAAGAAAAAAAAAAGAGAGAAAGAGCAATATTTGATAATTATAAAATAATCTTGAGCATTATAATACTTAAATAATTAAATAATATATAATTTGATAGTAACTTAATAAGAAATTTTAAATTTTAGCTCGTTTCAATACTACGTGAAAGGAAATGTGGTCTAGAATATTTATCTAGCATTCTTTATTGTGCATCACAGAATCGTGATAATCGAAAATGTTGCATACATTTAAATTTAAACGATCCACAACTTCAGGTATGCATAGCATTTATGATTGATAATTTAACCCTAAATTAACCTTTTATGAAATGAACGAACTAATTAATTAATCAATTAATTTTACAGGTAGGTAGTCGATGTTTAAGGATGTGTGATCCAACTGGAACAGCCATCGAACAAATTACAATGGAAGATGCCACATGTATGTATAACTGGAACGTTATTATGTATTGTCATCATAGTGGCATACGAGAAATGTAATTTTGTAATGTGTAAATAAATTATGAAAAATAAATAAATAAATAAATAAATAAAATGTTAACCTATTTTTGGATAATTAATAACTTTAAATTTTAAAGCAAAAAAAAAAAAAACTTTACATTTACGATTTATACATAACAACAAATATGGTAATAAACTTCAGAAATGCTCAAATACTTTTATTTTTTTTAAACTCTTTTCGGTCAAAAAAGAAAGAACGAAAGAAAAAAAAAATACTGAATTATTCATAATAAAAAGAAGATAAAGAGTGGAGTATTTTCATAAATAATAATAGCATAATTTTATTGGCTTTGTATTTAATTCCATTAAAAAAAAAAAAATGAAAATAATTGTTAAGTAATTGATATGTTCATTATTTTCATGTTAAAAATGCATTAAATGATTGTCCTCAAAAATTTTGTATCATTGTCAAATTTAGAAGGAAA